TTGTATTGAAAAGTCTCTTTCTTGTGTTCCCCTCTACACCATGTGTAATAGCTTATGCTTACCCACCCCTAGTCTTGGCTCTGTCTGCCTAGCATCTTTTTAAAAGCTGTGGGGTTTTTTTTTTTTTTTTACTTTTTTTCTTTTCTTTTAAGTGAGGCAATTGGGGTTAAGTGACTTGCTGCTAGTAAGTGTTATGTGTCTGAGGCCGTATTTGAACTCAGGTCCTCCTGACTCCAGGGCCGGTGCTCTATCCACTGTGCCACCTAGCTGCCCAATTATTTCTTTTAATTAGCAAAAATCTATTCTTTTCTACTTACCATCTTCCTCCATTGGGAAGAAAAAGAAAGAAAAACAAAGCCACTGTAACAAATATGCCTTTTACCTAGCATCTTAAGGCAGCACCAAGCAAGAGTACCATTTCTTTATGCACAGAATCACCTAGAAAAGTGGTCAAGGTGTTCTAGGAACACACCACGCCTTCATGCAAAAATAAAACAAACTCCAACAACTGATCATTACAATGACTGAAAGTCCGTCTTTAGAGATTTGGATTTATTACACTCTCCCTTTGTACATCTTGCACTTGTCCCCTTCTCTCCACTTATCTTTGCCACCACCTTAATTCATGCCCTCCTTATACCTCTGATCTAGAGTATAGTGATAGCTTCGTAACTGGTCTGTCTAAGCCAATCTCTTTCCTCTCCCCTGTCTATCTTTACAGAGCTACCAAAATAATCTTTAAGGCCCAGATCTGGCCATGCCATTTCCCCATCTCAAAAAAAAAAAACTTTCAGTGACTCCCTTTATTTATCAAATAAATTATACATTTCTTAGCCTAGAATTAAAAGCTCTCCACAGTCTGACTCTAACCTACTTTTCCAGCCTTCATTCACATTACTGTCATTTACGATAGGGACGTTACAGAGGGCCTGGAGTATTAGCTAGTTTAACATGGCACCACCTATCTTCCTACTCCCTCTGTGCATTTGGACAGGCTAACCCCTATGCCCAAAATGAACTCTCTTCTCATCTCCAAAGTTCCAAAATTCTTATCTTCCTTCTTCCTCCTAGGCCCAGCTTAGATGCCACCTCCTCCATGGTACAGCCTTCCTGAATGACTCTGCTCCCTCCTCAAATTCTGTTTGGAACACTTTGTCCAGATCTCGATTTTACCCTATCACATCCTTCCCTGTGTTATCCTTATCTTAGTACATGCTTTATTCCCTAGTTCCCCACCCCCATCCCTAGTGTAAATTCCCTATAGGCAGGGGTCATCTCTATTTCCCAGAGTCTGGTACTGTGACCTGCATAGATTAAGCACTTTATAAATGTTTGGTGTATGAATTAATGAGTGTCTCCTTTAAAATTCCTGGGAGGGGCAAATTAAAATACATTTAATGTTGTTCAAGTTATTATCAAATGAGATGTAAAGCTCTTGGCAAACCTTAAAACACTATGTGATCATCATTATTTTTTTAAATTAATAAATGTTTATCAGATACTTTCCCAATGCATGAGGGATACTACAATGATGACACTGGACACTGAGAATAAGGAAAAAGAAAAGAGCATAGAAAGTAGAGACAAGGGCCATCAAAAACAGACCTGTGTCCTTCCCAATTCTACCAAGGACAGTCCTGGACCCAGGCTTCTAGGGGTGGGGGTGGTATGGAGATACCACCCTTGACTGCACCCTTTACTACACTCTGCACATTCCTCCTCAACCCTCCCTCCTCCCCTCACCCCCCCCAATTCCCAGCCCCTCCCAGACAAGTCTCACCTCAAAAAACAAGAAAGGAAACAGTGAGAGCTTTCTCCAGTTGGCCCCCAGAGGCCTGGCTCTGCTGGGGACGTCAAAGAGAGGGAGGGAGAAAGGGAGGGAGAGAGGGAGGGGACAAGAGAAAGGAAGAGAAGAAAGCGGAGGCAACACAAAGGCCCCCGGGTCCACCTTTGAAGCTGTCTCTAACCGGAGGGAGGGAGGGAGTAGGGGGAGGCCAGGCCAGTCAAGAGTTTTAAAGAAAGTCTCAAATTCCAGTAGAAGCCAGAGGGATTGCATGAACTTTCTCCTTCTCTCCTCCCCACCCCCCAGTTACATGGCAGCCCTAGAGCACACACACCTCCTTCCCAGCTCCCTAAGCCAGTCTGTCACACCTGGGGGG